TTCAGGATTTAGGGCTTAGGGTTCAGGGTTTAGGGTTTAGGGTTTAGGGTTTACAGGTTAGGGGTGGTCAGGGTCTAGACACATTGGGGTTTCAGGGTTCAGAGTTTTCGAGTTAGGGGTCTCAGGGCTTTAGCATTGGAGTGAGACTTTGGAATTAACATATTTCTTGTTTGGGGGTTTATTTTTTCTATACATGTTTCGAGACCTAAAGGGAATCTCAATTTCTCAGTACTTGCGATTCGCACCGCGGCCCGGGCGCTTACTATTGTGACTCAGATTTTGTACTGTTCAACTCTCGCGCTAGGTGTATTGCCTAGGATCTGCGGGGTATTCTTCCTTTTGTTGCATGTTTTTGCCTGGATGTGCACATGCTTGCAACCTGTTCGCTTTTGTCTACTTCCGTTTGTACGAACCCTAAGCGCTCGCGGTTTAGGGCTTAGGGCTTAGGGTTTCGAAACCCTGCACCACATCGGCACGTCCTAGAGGCGCCAGCTGCACTGCAAGAGTTGACGAACATGCCCTAAACCCTAAACCCTAAACCCTAAACCCTAAACCGTAAACCCTGTTGACGAGCATGGAGTTTGGATGCCCCGTTCAGATATCCCCGACGACGTAGCACCCGGACCGGAACCAGCCCCAGAGCTTTCGACCTAACACCGGGGCCTTAATAAAATGAAGAGGGTTTGGGGATATATTGTACTATAACTATAATAAGGATCCCTTATTAATAATTAGAATAGGGTTTGGGGAGAAAATGTACTGTAATTATAATAAGGAACTCTTCTTAAGAATTAGAATAGGGTTTGGGGATATATTGTACTATAATTATAAATAAGGAACACCCCCAAACCCTACTTTAATCGTTAAGGCCCCTGCAGTAAACTCTAAACCCTCATGATGCTCTGTTTCCAGCGGAGCTTGTTTTGCTGCCAGCCACGAACCTCATCAGCGTTAATGCTGGCATCAGTAGATGATATGGCACATCATATAGGTTTTTGTAATGACTAGCACATTCGAACACTTCCTATTGGAATTGCACAGTTTCCAATGAGTTCACTGAACTGGTTTTCTTAACACAATAATCTTCTTGTATTAAGAAACGAATACCTAATTATTATGCGGTGTTTACTAAATGCTAGTTTTCCATTCCTTTTTCTAGTATATGAAATATCCGCAACCTGTAGACAATCTAAGAGCTTCGAAAACATCACGAATCTTGCCGTTGTACTATCTAACCATTGTTTAGGTAGGTGGTATTCATTAGTTTTGCTTAATAATTCTTTTCCCGCTATCCTCTAATAAGTGTTGTCTTGGTATAAATGATTTATCATGTAAATCTTCCTTCATTTCATGTGCAAAAAATTCAATGTTATTGTAGTCATCAATATTTATTTCACTGGCTTTTCAAACATTTTTGCAAATACATTTTCATGATTATATAGTTGCATTTGTTCAAACATTGTTGACCTCACTGTTTCCTATATGTATGTATGTATGTATGTATGTATGTATGTATGTATGTATGTATGTATGTATATGATATTACTAATAGTACATTATGCTGCTGAACCTCGTCACAATGCAGCGTTTAGCTCAGCGTACAGGGACTACATAATCGTAACGGGCAGACGTAGAGGAATGATAATGCCGTACTGGATAGAGAGACCACCATCGGCGAACCAATCCCGGGTAAAGGAACCCTGAACCCTAAACCCTAAACCCCAAACCCCAAACCCTAAACCCTAAACCCTAAACCCTAAACCCTAAACCCTAAACCCTCGCCCGAAACCCAAAGCCCTAGACCAGAACTCTATAACCCCAGAGCCGTAAACCTGCACAGCGCGCAACACTTTGAATCTTCAAGAATACTATAGGGGCCTCAATAATCGGAATAGGGTTTGGGGGGTGCCATATTTATAATAAGGAACCCTCCGAACTTCTAGTCTTGTTAATAAGGCCCCTACACCTTAAACTCTTACAGTGGCCCTTATAGAACCCTGTTATGGAGCCCTTCAAGGAACCCCCCAAACCGCTAGTCTAGTTATGAAGGCCCCGACATTACTTCTATCAACACCCCCTAAACCCTAAACCCTAAACCCCTAGCCCTTTATCAAGACCGAGCATGGTGGCCAGGACCATGTGCTCGTACCAGCCCTGACCATGGTCGCCTGGAGCTTGGAGCTTTGGGTGCAGGGTTTTAGGGTTTAGGGTTTTAGGGTTTAGGGTTTTAGGGTTTAGGGGTTTAGGGTCTGGGGTTTAGGGTTTCGGGTCCAAAGAGGGCTTCGGCTAGGGATAAATCGAGCTTTGTGTCTAGGGCTTAGGGTTTGGGATTCAGGGCTTGGTGCTAAGGCTTTTAACGTGTTTACGGCTTCGGGAGCTTGTGGCTTCAGGCTTTACCAAGGCTGGCACACTTTGCTGCCGAGAGTGTTTAGTGTTCTTCAAAGTTGCTGTTTGTAGTTGGGGTTTAGGGTTTAGGGTTTAAGGTTTAGGGTTTAGGGTTCTTCAAAGTCGCTGTTTATAGTTTGCCTCTTGCGGTGCCCAGTCTACGCAAGGGATCCTGTCGAAACGTTCGTTAGTTCGCCATTCCAAATCGCACCCTAAACCCTAAACCCTAAACCCGAAACCCTAAACCCTAAACCCTAAACCGTGATGAGACTCCGGCGGAAGATGGCGCTCCGCAGCGACAGAGCCATCCGCTTATGGCTCAAGACTGTTGAAAATGTAGAGGCCTGAATAATTACCTATGTTATTTTGGGAGTTCCTTATTACAATTATAGTATCATATAACCCCAAAACCCTATCCTAATTATTAAGGCCCCTTTTTTACCCATAGCTTTCTTTTGATGCTAGGCATGCAGCTGAGTTCAAGCTCCGCCAAGGCCGTCGCCAACATGGTGAAGATGGTGGGTGCCAAGCCGATCTACTGCGATTCTGCTGAGGTCCTTGAGCAGACGCTTAAGCTTTCGGGGGCTTCGGGGTTGGGGTTGTAAGAACATGCATCCACAAGGGTGTTGTGATGCGGTGTCCTAGGCCCTACACGTAGGTCCTATACCCAACTAATTATTGAACGTAGCCCTTTGATACCTGGATGTTGGTAGACCGTTCTTTGAATCAGGGCTGTGGGAATTGATTATCTGTTCTGCTCTGTTTGAAGGGCTTTCGGGCATGCAGATAGGTTTAACGAAGGCGGTGCCTATACAGCCTGAGGTATAGGTCGCAGACGTTGTGCTGCCCGGATGCCTTCCTTTGCTTGCGGAAACTCCCGAAAGCCGTTAGAATACATGCCCACGCGACTGGTTTTGTCCTTGATTGAAATGTGCCGCAGCATGCCTCGTGCATCGTGTGCTTCAACTTCGTCCTCGGTCTTCGGTACAGTGTGTGCGCCGCCACCACCACCACCAGCAGCACCACCACCGCCGAAGGCTGCTGCTGCTGCAGTGGCCACTCCTGCAACTGTGCTACTACTGGTATTTCGGCTGCTCCTGCTTTTGACTCTCTCGTGAAACATGCTCCCCTTCGGCGAGTCAGGATGAGCGAGGTGCAGATTCTATGTTAAACATGGACTACACAGATTAGGGTCTTTGCAATGCGGGTGGTATGTCCCTACTGGACATGACCACTAGAAGACCTCTTCCCAAACCCCAAACCATAGACCTCCCCAAGCCTGAATCCCGGAACATCGCGAGACCTCAAATATATATTAATCCTAAAGCCAAAACCCTAAGCCCTGATCAGCCCTAGAGATGTGAAGTTCTTGGGGCAAATTCGAGCCATTATATGTCGTTCCTATTAGTTCTTAGTGGAATGCATACACCCCCAAGCCATAGTCAGGGTTTAGGGTTGGGGGCTTAGGGTTGAGCCCTGTGGAAAATAATAAGGCCCTTCGTATGTGAGAACTAGGCTCAGCGTTCTTGTTCTAGCGCCAGAGAGGTGACGTTTGGGGTGTGGGGTTTCAGGGTTTTAGGGCAGAGGGCTGGGATTCAGGGTTGGGAGTTTAGGGTCAGGTTGAGGGTTTTGGTTCAGTATTGAAGGTATTGGGCCATCAGCAAGGAATCTAAACCCTAAGCCCTAAACCCTAAAGCTAAGGATACTGAGGCTCAGCTATCATGGCTTGTCAAGCAAAGGGTGTACGTTTGGAAGACCCGAAGGATCAACACACTTCAAGGGTCAAACCTTGGAGTGTAGGGGCCGAGATGATTACCTATATTGTTTTGGGGGTTCCTTACAGTATTGTAAATATAGTATAATATACCCCAAACCCGATTCTAATTATTAAGGCCCCTATTTTACTTCAAGCCCGAACTTCAAACTTAAAGCCCTAGACTCTCAACCTCACACCCGGCTCAACCCCCTAAGCCCAAAACTCACAGCCCCAAGCCATAAACCCTAGAGAGCCTTCTTTGCGAAACCCCTATAAACAAACTCCGCAAGGAACCCTAAACCCTAAACCTTAAACCCTAAACCCTATACCCTTAAAGCCCCACTCCATATGGAACCCTTTGAGGGACCTTGAGACGGAACGCCCAAAGAACCTTAATCTACGGTTAGAGGCCTTTCTAGGGACCCTTAAGGGTACACATAGGATATATAGTAGGTGTATAAGGATCCTTGGGTTAAGTGCCCATATACTTGGGGCCCATGGGTTCAACCTTAGACCTAAGCCGAGAACTGCCGAGAGGGCTCCGTGAACCCGGGAATCGACGACCTTCTGAAAAAGGCCACGCCCAGGACAGAAGGGTTCCCAATAGGGTTACTAGTGTTAGGGTTTAGGTTTTAGGGTTTAGGGTTTAGGGTTTTTCGAGCGTTAGTACAAGGATTGCTATAAGGTCACAGTAGGGGGTTACTACAGGTGCTACTATACGGGTTGTACCTGGTCAAGGGTTACTAGAACGGTTACAGGGAAGAGTTATTATAGTATAAGGGCAGCTATTATAAGAGATCAGATAAGGATTACTATAAGAGTTGCTATAGGGGTTACTGTAGGGATTGCTAAGAAGGTTACTACCAGGGCTACTACCACGGTGACTACAAAGGCTCATCGGGTTTTTGCACGCCCAGGACCAAGGCCGTGATCGTGTGTCACACCTACGGCGACTGGGCTTTCAGTTCGGGGTTTAGGGTTTGCTTCATCATCATCATCAAGCACTATTGCGGCTGGCGTTTGGGCGAAGCCACTTTAGGGTTCCGACTTTGAGAATGTAGGGTTTCGGCTTCAGGGGCTTTGAGGCTTAGGGAAGCTGGGTTTGAGGAGTTTGAGGGGGCGAGGGCCCCAAGCTTAGATGGGCCTTCGAATCCCGCTTCTTCGTTTTGCGGCATGGTTTCGGGTTCTTGGGTTCGAAGTTTGGGGCCCCAGACAGCGAAGCCTAAACCCGAAATCCCGGACCTACGCCCTGAGCCCTAGCTAATCCCTCAAGTCGGGTTTAGATATCCTGAAGCTTAAGCTCACACCTAAACCCAACTGGCATGCAAAAGCTGAAGACAAGCGGATCTGCCAGGTAGAAACTTTCGGACCTGTTTTCGGTTTTTGATCTAAAGTTGGACTAGGTAAACCCGAAGTCCCCACTCACACACAGGTATTTATGCATTCATGCGCGTCGCGGATTAGATGACGAGGCATTCGGCTACATACATAGATAAGATACATATTTACATATTATCCGCCCATGCATACCCTTAATGTAGAAACTTGGTAAGAGGCTGCAGTACAATCGCCCAGTAAGCCTTTAGGCTTTAGCCGAAGCCCGAAGCCTGGCCGAGCGCAGTAAACCCCAAAACCCTTAACACTAAACCCCTAAGCCCTAAACCCTAAACCCTAAACCCCTAAACTCTAAACCCTAAACCCCTAAACCCTTATAGAACCCCTGTAGCAACACTTATAGCTTTATGGATGCCCAAAAGGACCCTTTCAGGATCCCTAAACCCTAAACCCCTAAACCCCTAAACCCCAAAAATCTCAGGCGTGGCTTGCAAGGACATCGAGAAAATCACAGCTCTCTGCCAAGAAAAGGGCTGGTGGCTCATAGAGGACGGTGGTCTAGGGTTTAGGGCTTTGAAGGTTTAGGGTGTAGGGTCTTGGGGGTCTAGGGTTTAGGGCTCAGGGTTGAGGGTCGAGGGTTTAGGGGTTGAGGGTTTAGGGGTTTGGGTTTAGGGTTGCAGCAGCTACAGATAGATCGCTGGATCCGAGACCGTTGGAGCTGGTAAGTTTTGACCTGATGATTTCGAAGTCGGACGTGGGTCTCGATTGTCTAAATTGGCCAATGATTTTCTTTGGTGCAGATCCTCATGCAGGTTGCAATGTCGCTCATGGCCACCTGCCTTTTGCAGCTCTGCTACTTATGTGTCCATGGCACAACCCCCCACCAAAAGCTAGCATGTTGTTTGTTTTGGTTTTTTGCTGATCATCGGAACAACTTATCACCCGTCCTCTATTCTCTGCAGTTGCAGACGAGTTCGTCTGCCAATATCTTAGTCGGCAGCCGGCCTCTTTCCTACTATATCAGGGAACTTTGCAGTCTTGGTTTTGTGCTCATTTGGCTTCAGTTCGTGCTGCTTTAACAATCTGCATGCCAGCACACTTATACGTGCCATCGTCGGCATCCTCACCAACGTCTGAACGATGCTCGTCCTAACTTATCCTCGCTCCCATCTTCTTCTTCTTCTTGTTCTTCTTTCTGATCCTCCTCCTACTTGCCACTGCCGCAATACGGTAAGCACCATCGATACCGTCTCCTGAAACACCGACTACATCACCATCATCAGCAGCAGCATCGTCAGCATTTTCAGTGCCATCTTCATCCGCAGTATCAGCCACATAAGAAGCACCATCACCGTCACTAGCATCATAACTATCTCCAGCATGACCTTTCATCAACACCATCTGTGCCATCATCATCATCATCATCATCACCACCACCACGACCATCATCATCACCATAATCACCACCATCCTCATGATCTTCATGATCCTGGCCCTCGTCATACCTATCATCACTACCATCACAATGACCAACCATTGCCGTCATTTTCTCATCAACAGCACAATCAGTTTCGCAGTCGTTAGCGTTGTCGCCATCGTGTTGTCGCCATCGTCTTCATAGTCGTCTTCGTCGTCCTCGCTATCGTGATCATCATGGCCATGCCTACGCAATACATAATACTCCCCTCCCATCCGAGGATTCCAGTGTTCACTTCCGACCTTTGAAGCACTACATAGGTCTATTGCAGGGTTTAGGGTTTTGTGGTTTAGGGGTTTAGGGTTTAGGGTTTCGGGGTTTAGGGGTTTAGGGTTGTAGGGTTGACGGGCTATGTTGAGTGCACACCTAACACGCACGCGAGCACTGACCTCCGACCTGCAGGACATCTGTGAGGCCATGGGCACTCGTGCAGACAACGGCGAGCTGGTCGGCACTTTTGGCGACTTTGGTATCACCTCGTTGCCCGATGCATGTGGCAGAATCATTGGAATTTCTTGAACTAGGCTTCAGCAGCCCGAAGTGTAACTTGCTTGCCACTCAGTCTCATGATCCTCCACTTGAAGTCCTGAGCCCTACAGCAACTTCTGCCCCTTAAACAACACGTCGGGACCCTCGCTTAGGCCCTATCTGAACCCCCCAAGCCTGTAAGCCCTGAACCCTCAACCTCTTACCCCTAAGCCCCCTGCCAGACAGCTATCAGGCGTCGGCCGCAAAGGCTCTTAGTCCGCAAGCCGCACAACACTTCGTAGACTTAGAATCCACGACGAGAACGAGAACGTCGACAGCGACGATGACGATTGTGCTCATGCCGATGATGGCGATGTGTGAGTGTGTGTGATGATGGGGAATAAGCAGGGAACGATGGTCGTGGTCATGATGATGCATGAATGCCGCATGGAGCCCCTTTGCAATCCTCAACCCAAAGCCCAAAGCCTCAAACTCGGAGAGTTGGATTTAGCATTATAACAGGTCATAGCCGTAAGAGCATCTACTCGTCGCAAAACAATCGTCGTCGTTCTGGCCGTCGCTGTCGCCGTCGTCACCGTCGCTGCGACGTCGTCGTCGCCGTTGCCATTGCCGTCGCAGTCGTCCTCCTCATCGGATTCGCCGTCGTCGCTGTCGTCGCTGTCGTCGCCGTCGTCATAGTAGAAGTTGAAGAGAAATAGTAGCGGCAGTTGTTACAGCAATAGTAGCGTAGTAGACAGAACACGAGGAGGAACGGCAGTCAGAATCAGACTCAAGATCAGGCTGTATGCCAACAAGCCGATTACGGCGGGGGATGGCGGCTGGGTGCATGCGCGCGAGAAGAAGCACCCTCGACTATTGGGACGGTAGGACTTCGGGATTTTGGAGGCTCCGGGATCAGGTTGATAATATATAGCATATAATGACAAGAAGAATATCGAGGTCAGCTCTGGAGGGTTTGTTGCTCCGTTGCCGTGGCGTCTTCGTGATACGCACTTGCTGTCATGGTTCACTTGTGTTGGATGAACGCCAGAATCAGCTGAGGCACCATGATCGGCTGAAGTCTCTCATTAACCATGGTTTCGCCACCCGGACTTGAAAGAGGATATCGTTTTAAGCCCAAGGCCCCGGGGGAAACCCCCCAAGCCCTGACCCCCCCCAAGCCCCAGCAAGCTTGTGCAACTGCTTCAATCCCAAAGCCCTCAACCACCCTAAATCCCAAATCATAAACTCCAAACCCTAATCCCTAAATGCTGAACTCCTAAGCCCAAAGCCGGAAGCCCCAAACCCTGAACCCGAAACCCCTAAATCTTCGAAACCCCTTATAGCATCCCTCAAAGGAACCCCTACAAGGATCCCTTAAACTTGCCTTAACGGATCCCATCTCAAAACCCTGAGGATCCCATTTTTATCACCTTGAGGATCCCGCCTATCACTTCCTGCACTTCGAGACGGCGCCCAACGCCAAAATGAACGGCTTGGGTGCGGCCTTTGTCTGCTCGCAGGCCTCGGAGACAGAATTGGGGTTTAGGGTTTTAGGGTTAGGGAATAGAAGTAATTAGTTACATGGGTAGTATATGGTTCTATATTTGTAATATATTATACCCGTATGGTGCAACCCTAAACCCCAAACCCTAAAACCCTAAAACCCTAAAACCCTAAACCCTAAAACCCTAAAGCCCTAAACCCTAAAACCCCAAACCCCAAACCCTAGAACCCTAAGCCCTAAAACCCTAAAGCCCGAAAACCCTAAGCCCCCAAAGCTGTAGTCGGATTCTTTTAGGAAGGCCGGTGTCTTCAGCGCCTCTCTTTGATGCTTCAAGCAGGGTGTGTAGGGTCTTTGGGTTTTGGGAATTATGTTCTAGGGTTTAGGGGTTTAGGTTTAGGGGTTAGGGGTTTAGGGGTTTAGGGGTTTAGGGGTTAAGGGGTTTAGGGGTTTAAGGGTTAGGGGTTTGAAAACGTGGCAGGGGGTGCTGAACGTTTTGGGGTTTGGGGTGTTAGAGGTTTGGAGTTTCGGGTTCAGAGCGTTAGGGTTTCGGGGTGTATAGAGGGTTTCGGGAGTGAGTGATGTTGATGTCAGGGGTGTAGTACCCTAAACCCTAAACCCTAAACCCTAAACCCTGTAAGTTTGAAGATTTGCAGCTTCAGGGATCTGAAGTTTGTGATTTCTCAGTCGCTCCACTAGAGAGGCCTGAGATATTAGCATTCGTATCCCCTGCTTTACCATGTTATACCATACCATACGATACTATACTACGCCATACTTTACTTTAATGTATTATATCACAATATACAAACCCTGTTCTAATTATAAAGGCCTGTACCTGTTCATTTTCTCAAGGGTGGCAGCTGTCTTGGAGCCTTTCCGTAACCCCAAAGCTGCACCGGGCTAGTCTGGAGGGGTTTAGGGCTTAGGGTTCAAATGTCGCGCTTTAAGGAGGAAGCCCAAATTGTCTAACGCATAATTCAAGCCGTTGCAGCGCCACCTCTGACAGGTGAAGATGCTGCCCCAACTCATGCAGCATCGAGGCTGCGAGGGAGTAACTCATCACGTATGCCGTATGCTCTTGGAACAGCAACAAAACCTGAAGCCCCAAAGCGACCCTAAAGCTAAAACTTAATCGACTTAACCTTGCAACATTCAAGCCCTACAGCCCTAAACTTCACCGGAGCTTCACTTAGGCCTCCAAAAAAGCTAAACCCTGAATCACACCCTCCAAAGCCCCCCCAAACCCTAAACAGGCATGCTTCTTCGCTCTACATCGGAACCTTAAATCATTGATATCCTAAACTTCAAACCCCCAGTCGCCCTCGGTCCTAAGCCCTCAGTCGCTTTGGGTTTGGTGTTTAGGGGTTTTATTCTGGCTTCAGGTTTTAGGGTTTAGGTCTTAGGGTTTAGGTTTTGGGGTTTCGGTCTTGGGGTTTAGGTTTTGGGGTTCAGGTCTTAGGTTTTAGGGTTTCGGGTGTAGGGTTTTCAAGATATAGGAGAGAGGGTTTAGGTTTTAGGGTCCTACACCCGAAACCTTGAACCTGGCGCCCCGCAACCCTAGATCTGAAACCCTAAGCCCTAATATAGGGGCCAGAATAATTCGAATAGGGTTTTGGGGCATGTTATACTGTNNTTATTCAGGCCCCTATATTAAACCCCTAAGCCCTAAAACTAATGCTACCTTTGTAATGCCGGAGCATTGCTGTGAACTGTAGGGTTTCTGTCGGTTTATCTTTCGGGTTTAGGGTTTGGGGTT